CCTACAGAAGAACCCCACAGATTGACACAGCAAGATGCAAATATACCATACAAAGACCCTGGCAAACTTTGAAACACAATTAACGAAAAAAGGCCATTCAAAAACAGAATTTATAGCAACAGTAATCAAGACTAGGAAGTGAAGTTTTGCCGACGTAAATTTTTTCCAATAGAAAATGACTTCAGAAACATACTTTCAGAATTTGAAAATTAGGAACAAAATTAGGGAATCTATATGAGACATCTTTTGGAATTTTAAAATTCAAAAACAGGATTAAGAAATCTATCTAAGATGTCCAATATTGGACTCACGAATATATAAAATCAAGAAAGTAACCCAGATCGTAGTTAAGGTCAACGTCAAAAGAAGCAACTATGTACCAAAAAACATGCGCATGAATAAGAATTGCACAAAAATCACTGCGATCAATCCAGGGAAAATCAGTCAGAGAGAATCTAATTCATACAAGAAATACTATCAAAATAAGCATGTTTGATCATCAGGCGAAAACAAATACAAGATCGTACCCAGTCAATCAGAAGATCAGACAATCCTGAAACCAGCGCAGAAACCTACGAGTACCCAAGACACGACCCTCCCTTCCCGAACCTCACCTCCACACGAAACCGGCCTAAGGCATCTCGGCCTTCATTCGACCACTCCGGTCAATCAAAGCCGAACGGTCACAACAACGGACCGCAGCGCGTTTACCAAAAATATCCACGCCACGTTGCAGAATCTAGCTGCTGAACCCGCCAACAGCTTACCGCAGGCAGTCCCAGAAGAGGAGAACTCATGACCTTACCAAGTATTGCACCTTCTCGTATAGGTAAGCAACAGCAGCAGATTACCTCTCCATACGCCAGGAAGCTCGGAAACGACCCACACCAAACCAAACCCCAACAACCACCTTCCGCTGTCCCCAATATCGCAGCAAGAGTCCACCCTGCCCACACTTGCTCCATCGCAGTCGCTTTCACCCCTCACTCACCTTCTTCCTCTCCATCATCAGCTTCCCCGACCACTTCGCACCATAACTCGACGTCTTCGCACGGCCCACTTCGTGAATCAGCGCCGCCACTCATCACAATCGGCCCATCGTGCTGACCGGGTTTCGCACCTGGGAAATGCCGGGGCGCAGCGCTCCCGGTAGTGCTGCGCCCCGCCGCCCTCATCCCTCGTTTTTATTCTGCCAACTTGTTTGAAAGTTCGTCGTCTGTATTCAATTTCGTTTCTACGCTCCTTTGTCTTCAGGCCTCGCTTGTTCGTCGTTTGTCACTTCGACACTGCACTGTTCCTTTCCTTTTCATCAGTCTATCCTGTGCTCCTTCCTACCTCTTCTCCTCTCCCTTCCCCCTTATCCCTGTTTCTCTTTTCGTTTCCTCACGGCTTTTTCCTTCTTCCCTTGTACTTTCCTTAAGGTAGTAAGAAGTTGTCGCGCCTGAAGGCGCGGCTCTAACAATTACTTTGTGTCCTCTTCTTCCCCACCCTTTACCATCCCTGTCGTGTAGCTTATGAACTCCTCTGGGTTGCTATGGCGGGAGCCCCCCGCCAGGCCTGTTCCTGCCTTTCTCCGTCCCTTCCTGTGGAGGTTACGGACTTTTCGCGAGCGCAGGACACTTCGAGCAGTAGCACGGCGTATCGGCGCATGAACGTTGTAGAGTGTTAGCGCTAACCGAACGGCGCTAGCGCAAAAAAAAACTCTCTCCGTCAAAGCTTCACTGTAATTGTATCCAGTGTTGTTATTTTGGCCTGCAAGAAACCATAAGTAATAAGTATCCTGATTCCTTCCAAAGGAGCACCTGGCTCTCCAAGCTGCCATCAACACTGTTAGTCTGGTGTATTTGAAAAGGTTCAGCATGAAAGGGTCCCACTGACTACACAGGTGTGTCGTCTCCTGCAGCAGGAGGTTTTTGGTGTCCCATGGAAGATGAAAGCCAATTAAGTAGTGCCATGCAGCATCCAATCACCTCCATATCTGCTTAATCATGGGGCAGGCTAGGAGATAATGCTACAGGTTTGTTTTGGAGACCAGCCAGTCTGCTGTCCAAAGACACCAGTGGAGGATCTGCCATTGATGGGCTCTGTGACCATGTTAATCTTCTCTGTGTCGTTCCAACGTTAGCGGATGTCTGGAAGACGCACCCTGATGTTTTTTTTTTTTTTTTTTTTTTTTTTTTTTTTTTTTTTTTTTTTGTGTGTGTGTGTGTGTTTGTATCCCCCATCCATCCACCAGCTCTTCTGTCTATCCATTCATTGTTTTGCCTGTTCAGACCCCATGCATCTATTTGCCGGCCTGTCTGCTCGTGCTTTGTTCATTCGTCGGCCCTTCCTTTTGCAAGGCCAGCTGTCTGTGCATGCAACATTCTACTCATGATGTTCGGTACATATTCAGAGATCTCTGCAACTGGTGGCAATGATTCCTCAGCAATTGTATGAGATGATCTTATGCAGCAGAGCATCAGGGAAAGCATTGGCTCCGCACACACATGCACACCAACCAACCAGCCACCCACCCACCCACCCACCCACCCACCAATGCAGCCACCCACCAACCCTTCGAACCAACCAACCATCCAGCCAACCAACCAACCAACCAACCAACCAACCAACCAAGTAGCCAACCACCCAGCCAACCAACCATCGCAACAGCAACCCCTTTCACACCCAGATGCATATATAGCTTGATTGGAAAAGTCTTAGCATGTGCTATCCTAAAATAATTGTGATGTCTCAGGGGAATGGTCATTTCATCGCTGTCTTTTGAATGGTTCAAGGCCTGCCATGTTTGTTTGTTTGGTTGGTGGGTGGGTTGGTGGGTTGGTGGGTTGGTTGACTAGTTGNATGGTTCAAGGCCTGCCATGTTTGTTTGTTTGGTTGGTGGGTGGGTTGGTGGGTTGGTGGGTTGGTTGACTAGTTGGGTGGGCGGGTGGGCGGGTGAGTGCCGGGAAGACTGTGATGTTCTCTGCACTAGAACTGTGGTAGAAAAAGTTGTAGCAGCGAAAACTATAGTAGGGGAAATAGAAGCTGTGGAAACTGCTGCACCAGCTGTGGAAACTGTGATAAACTGCACTAACAGAAGCTGCTACAGTGGAAACTGCAGCAGATGAGAGAGCAGGGGAAGGACGAGAGCTCCATGAGTGCAAGGAAGAAAGTGCATGATAGAGAGACTATCGCGACATGCATCGGAACCACTGAGAGAGAAGTGTCACATGTGCAGGATTGCGGAGTTGGCTAGAGTGCTTGTAAGTCCAGCCCTTAGAAAGGGTTGATGGGGGATGCATGCGAGAAGACACAGGTGAGTAAGTGTTGTTGCCACAGTTTGAAAGTCCTGCCACTTACCACGAAGTTGTTCAAATCTTGTCAATTGCCCAGTGAACACATCAGCCAGTTGATGGGAAGGGATGTTGCAGGTAACTAATGACCGGGAAATCCCAGGCAGTCGCTCTATCAAAATTACTCATGCGAAGCGAACCATCAAAGTGGACCCGTAGTTGCATACCTAAGAAGGTACCGGAGCCATCTGAAGCTATAGTTCGTTTCCACTTAAGACCATCGTGCTATGGTGGGAGGAGGTAATTGGCCCCATGAAAGAGCATCATCAATTGAGGCGATAAATGAAAGCATATTGCCGAGTGGCTTGAAGATCATGCCAACGAAGTTCATCGACAAAGCGCTCTTCGTTCCAATATAGCTTCAGATTAAAAATTTATGGGTCAGAATAGTGGCAATCTGTTTCTGAAGCGTCCCTGCAGTGTACAGAAAAGTGTTATGTGCATTGTGCAACAAAATGAAGATGTTGGAGGATCTGATAAACAGAAAGGTGCCCGTTGGGCACAACAAGGTCCTCAAATCATCATGGTGAAGGCTTGCAGCATGAATGCTCCCAAGTGTGCCCAAGGGCATAAGCATGGGCTTCATCAACAGCTTTTGCCACATTATTCAGAATGCGGGCATGAGGTAGGTTGGTGTACAGTGTGGTAAAATCGACAGTGCGAGGAGAGAGACCACAAAAGGGGAACGAGTTGTTTTTTGGGTCAAGTGCCACTTCATCGACACTCTGACCAATCCTCAATACCGTCGAACACCAACCTGTTGCTACAGGTGTGTCTTTCTCATGAAGAGTAGAGATCGTGCCTTGCGATGTTGTGCTGTACTAGCCAATGGTTTGTCAGGAGGCCGTTCATAAATGGCATGAACTGTTGGACAACGGCGAGCATATAGGGTAAACAGGAATAATGTTTTGTGCTGTGACTAAAGAATGCTCCAAAGAGCTGGTGGACATTATAAGCTTTGCGAACATAGTAGAGGTAAGGCAGCGAATCACTATGGGTGTAATCCCGATGGTGACTCCATGTTGCATGGCTGCCAAGGACATCAGGAACAGGTTCAAGAGGGTGGTTATAAGTGGGGCTGTCCAAATGGGTAGAGAGATGAAGCAAATTGTGCGATGTTTTCTCCACAGGGACAATTGGGTAGTGCTGTTGGAGATTGTGCAAGGAGGCATCTGTAGAACGAAGTGAACGCGGCTGGCCCACAAGACCGGGGGACGAAGATGCATTGGATTGACAAGAAGTACATCAAGATTGTCTAGCCAACAACTTTTTGGAATTGTCAGTATACTCATCGAGTCCAATTGCCAGCACTCGGAGCATGTCATCAGTTTCCCTATTTGAGGGATACTCTGTGTGTGTGTGTGTGTGTGTGTGAGAGAGAGAGAGAGAGAGAGAGAGAGAGAGAGAGAGAGAGAGAGAGAGAGAGAGAGAGAGAGAGAGAGGGAGGGAGGGAGAGAGAGAGAGAGAATAGGAGTGACCTGGAAGCCTACATGGTGCATTGAACGTCATGCTTTGACAGAACATGTTTGCACCCTAAACACAAAACAATGGGCTGTGTCCTAATTTTTTGTCCTGTACTAGCAATAAAAAAGAGTTGAAAAGAAAAAACAAACAATGAGCTCGCTTGTGCTTTCTTGTCCTGCCTTTGTATCTTTCTCTTGCCAGGCGCCAGCTTCTGCACCTGTAAATACCTCGCCATCAGTGCTTGGCTCATATGGTGTGCCCTCTGCAAGTGCAGAGGGAGAAAACACGGAAAACAAAAGCCGACGGGAAGAAGGGAGTGAGAGGAAAGATGTATGCAGTGTCGACGATGAGCCACTGAGCAAGCTCAAGCGGAAATCATCCTCACTACGCATTGAAACAAGCGGACAGAAGAAGAGGACTTTTGTCGTGAGTGTAGCAACGGCGAAACCTATGGCCAAGGGAAGTTTAATGAGCAATGCAGAAGCAGGGATGCCGAAAAGGACAAGAATGGATGCTGGACGTGACAGTGATGGGGATGAAGACGATTCATTGGAGAAGAAGAAGAAGAAGAAGAAGAAGACAATGCAGAGGGAGGATGATGAATCACGGAACAGACAGCATGAAGATCCCAAAGTTACGAAGAGGAAGAGGCTTGAAGTAAGCAGCAAAGGGAGAGAAGAAGGGGGAGGAGGAGAAAAAGAGGAAGGCCACGGGGCGTTGTCAGCAGCAGATAAGAGACTCGGAGTGGAGGCGAAAAAGGGGGTGACCTCCCAGGTAGGTGAGGGGAAGAATGGTGGAGGGAGGGGGGAACCAAGTCCAGGCCCTGTGATGGACAGAAGAAACAGTTGGGTCTGGAATCTTCGAATAAGCAATTTGGCACCAAGTGTGCTGGATCTTCTCTGCAAGACACTGAGAAGACGAAGTTGAACCCGAGCGTGAAAAAGGAGTCAGACTCCAGTGTGACTCACAATGCGGCTGTAGCCGTTCTGAGGTATGATGCAGAAAGCATGGTTTCTTCTGCAGTTGGTGGAATGTCGGTAGAGGTGGTGGTGAAGAGCGAGCCCCTTGAGGACTACGACTGGAACAGCATGGTTTCTGCAGCTGCTAGAATGCAACAAGAGGTGGCAGTGAAGGTGGAGCCTCATGAGGACCCGAACGAGGGGATAAAGGATGCAAGAGAGGAGGGTGCAAAAAAGAGGATAAAGGATGCAAGAGAGGACGGTGCAAAGCACGCAGAAAAAGGGATAAAGGATGAAACAGAGGGGGGTGGAAAGGGTCCCGAAAAGGGGGTTGCAAAGCGAGCCCCCTAGGAAGCAGAAAGGAAATTGCAAAAGAGCAAAGGCGGTCAGAAGTGTATAAGGCGTGGGAAAGTGGAAGGGACAGGGAATGGACCGAAGAGACGAGGACAGGAGGAAAAAGGGATCCAGAAAAAATGGGGCTGAAAAAAGGGGAGAGGGAGGCTAGGAAGAATTGAGACAACGGCCGATGCCGATGTGATGGTGGAAAAAGATGAAGGAGATGACGGAAATGAAAAAGAGGATGGAGCCAAGGGAGCAGAAAGCACAGAGGACCTCCAGAAAAAGGGGAAGTTGAAAGTTTTGTCGAGGCTCCCATTGGTGTTACCAGATAAACTCTCAAGACTGAAGGTAAGGTGCTGCAAAAAAAAGAAAAAAAGGGGTATGTTTATGTCACCTTTGAGTATCGAATGGGCAAAAAAAATGCGTGTCGGCAAAGAAAACCGCACCGAGTTCAAAAAGGCAACGGAAGTACCGGCGGCCGTGGTGTCAGACCGGGTGTCATATTTACAGGGGTCGGCCGTTGTTGCATACTTCAATGAGTATGGGCAGAACCAAAGATCAACCAATGTAGGATGAGCATATATGCAGCGGAAGTCTGATAAACGGACTGACTCACATAGCATCACTCCACACACATACAATCGTGAGATGGTGGGGTCTGGGCCATTCATAGACGATGCCCAGATCCCGTACACGCATTCACAGATGAAAGGTGGGAGGAGAGACGAAGGAGGKGGGGAGGKAGACAACACCGATAGATAGAGTCTGATAGGTCTCCGATATGGTAGTCCAAAATGTCGTACAACAGGATCAAAATGTCGAGGCCCATAGGTCACCACCAGATGTAACCGGTGTCCAACTGTGATGCAGCCGAGTATCAACCTCAACAATCTCCAAGTCTCCAATCAGGTAAGTACCACAGTCTCATATCACCGAAGTCCAACTCTGATCTCTGTCCAACTAGTAGAAGAAGAAGAAGAAGAAGAAGAAGAAGAAGAAGAAGAAGAAGAAGAAGAAGAAGGAGGAGGAGGAGGAGGAGGAGAGAGAGAGAGAGAGAGAGAGCTGACGAGGGAGGGAGGAGAGGTCCTCCGCTCCCAGGTACCTCAGGCGGCAATGGCCGCCGTGCTGGCTCAGTCGCCCTGCTGCTGCTCCGCTTGCCGCTGCGCTAATGCTGCGCTGCCGCTGCTGCTCCTTGCTCGCTCCCGCGCTAAACTTAGCGCATCAAAACAACGCTCTGGCGCTGACCATAACGCACCGGTAGAGTGCCGGTGGTTCGATGCCTCCAAGTGAGGCTGTACCAGTGGGGCAGAGGCCGGCCTCAATGCTGCGAGGCCTGGCCATGCCCTGAACCGTCCAGATGGACAGTTCAGCCCCAACCGGCGGGCGGCAGCCTCAAGAGCGCCAGGCCCAAACGATAATGCTTTTTGGGCCTGCCCGTTGGGTACTGGTCCAAGATCAGACCTTTAGGGCCTGTAATACCCCAAGGTCGGGCCTTTAGGCCCTGATGTGTCCTTCCGGCCCTAAGTCAGGTCCGGTAGGACCCGTGTGCGTCGAAGATGTAACAGCCGTGGTGTCAGAGGGGAAAAGAACAAGAAAAAGAAAATGCCCAACGGATACTTTTCGACCGAAATCGCTCATTTTGAGTTGGCGGGGAACTTGGCGCGTGGTTTCTTTGCCGGCGCGAGTTTTTTGCCTTTAGGGTTTCAAAACATGCCGCGTCCACCGTCATTTCTTTAAAAAAAAAAAAAAAGACTTGTTTAGGGATATGAGCCTTCTAGAGAGTCTTTGGAAAGACAACCCGTGCAACTAAACCTGCGCCTACCATTTTCCACGGAACACACAACGCACCCTTGTTATGAATGTATACTGCCAGATATACAGTCAGGATGACGGTGTGTTGTGCTCGGAGGACAGCAGTAGGCATACCACCCACACGTAACTCACGCATTTTCTCGAGGCTCCCCTTCATGTTCCCAGGATCTCATGGAAGGTGCTGCTTGGGACTCGCGGCAAAGACCTTGCAACTGAACTCACAGAAGTACTTGCTCACAAAATTGAAAATTGATCGATACGTTTTTGTGAGTAATTCTTTGAAGCGAGTCTCAAATACCATGGCTTTTTTTTTTTTTTGGATCTGGGTCGGGACATTGGACACCTCTTGTGGATCCCTGGACTCAGGATTACCAGCCGGTGCCCAGACTCTGGATCTCCAGACACCTCTATGAAGGGATATATGATTTMKTTTTTTGGGTGGKTGGCTGGGTAGAGAGTTTAGCAGGCCCAGTAGTACTTAGGAATGAKGACGGCCCAGTAGGAAGGTTGGTGCTACCAGAGTGCTGAGTTCGCAAAGCAGCCGAATGATAGAGTAGTGTAGCATAGCATTTAGTAGAGATAGGAGGAAGAGGAGAAATGGAGGAATTCCTCTTACCTTGTGCTACACATAGGGCGTCAGCCACCGGTCATAGGCAGCCTTTGTATGCCGATCTGAGCACCCTTAAGCAGTGCCAAACAGTCGGCCATTCCRAGTTCAGAGTGCSTACAACACCCTTYGGGGGGGTGCYCAGTTCAGGATGTCTGTCTGCCCTACATGCGATGATGGATGTCCCGCTTGCTTTGCAGGTCGTTCTTGGCAAGCTGCTGTGTTCGCTATGTGGTTTGGCCGTCACAGGATCTCCGTGCTGGGGTGGGGTGAAGTGCTCATCTTGGGGCTTCACTTTCACCCCAGCCCACTAAGCCTTATGGTTAGGTGTTAGCCTGCCAAGCTGTTAATTGTGTCTTCGAGTCTTGTATTTGGATTACACGTGCTTTCGCGCAGTAACCACCGTAGAGGTTATACTACGGGCAGTGTGGCTGCGTAGGGGTGAGTGTGGTTGGGTACAGAGTGTCGTGGGATCTCCGTGCTGGGGTGGGGTGAAGTGCTCATCTTGGGCTTCACTTTCACCCCAGCCCACTTAGCCTTATGGTTAGGTGTTAGCCTGCCAAGCCATTGGTTGTGTGTTCGAGTCTTGTATTCGGATTACACCTTTGTGCAGTAACCGCCGTAGAGATTATACTACGGGCAGTGTGGCTGCGTAGGGGTGAGTGTGGTTGGGTACACCGTGTCACAGGATCTCTGTGCTGGGGTGGGGTGAAGTGCTCATCTTGGGGCTTCACTTTCACCCCAGCCCACTTAGCGTTATGGTTAGGTGTTAGCCTGCCAAGCCATTGGTTGTGTGTTCGAGTCTTGTATTCGGATTACATGTGCTGTTGGTGTTGCTTTGCGCTTGGCTGCTACGCCGCCTTGCCGTCCATCAGCAGGCGGTGCCTTCCTTGTCCTATACTTGCGAACCTTGTAGTTTGGTTGCGTTGTTGGTGTTTCCTTGTGCTTCACTGCATGGTTGCTGTGCTGCTCGTCTGCTCGCCCTGCCGCCCCTTGCAGTCTGGTTGCCTTGTTGGTGTTGCCTTGTGTTTCACTGCGTGGTTGCCGCACTATGTGTCCGCTTGCCTTGTCGTTCCTTGCAGTCGTCTTTGGCATTGAGCAGCTGTGTTGCCTCTGCAGCATTGTCTGGTGCTTCACTGGGTTGCCGCCCGTTGTTGTGTTCCATTTGGGGACAGCCTGCCTTCCACAAGGGTGACCCAAACCGTCAATAAGGAGATTCCCCAGATTGTTGAGGGTTCAGCCTCCTGATGAGTCGGTGCAACTCCGATGAAACAATCTATCATCAGCTTTTATTATTTTCAGTCTTTTTTACTTTTTTTATACTTTGTGTTTTTTTTCAGGTGCTGCTTTTGCCTTGTCGTTGTTTGGCTTGTTGCCGTTTCCCTCGCTGCCCCACCCAGTGTGCTTCGTTGCTTTGTGCTGTTTGCCTCCCCACCCTCCTCCCCCATGCCCTCCAGCCTATGCAATTTGCTGCCTCGTGCTGTTTGCCTTGCTACGTGTTGATTGTCCTCCCACGCGCCTTCCCGATGCCCTCCAGCCTATGTCTTTGTTGCATGATGCCCATGTCTTGCCTTGTGCCCTTCATCTGCCTCTTCCTTCGCTGCCTGCACTCCTTAGTTGTTTGTACTCCAACTGTTGAACAGCCGATGTTCAGTCCATTACAGATTTATGCGAGAATTGTTTTCAAGTTCTGTAGTGGATGGATCTCTCCCGGGTGGTCGCCGAGCGGAGTACACTTGTGTACAGGAGCTATCTCAAAGTGTGGTACACACACACACACACACACACACACACACACACACACACACACACACACACACACACACACACACACACACACACACAAACAAACAACGCTGTGAACTTTGTCTTTCCTCAGTTCTATTCCTTGTCCCTCCATTTCCCCGGCTCCCTCCTCCCTCCCCTCATGTAGAACTTCTCCTCCCCTTCCCCCTTTCCTTCCTCCCTCCCCTTGTTTAGCACTATAAGATGCACACGAATGAGCATAGTTAAGAGAACAGACAAAATAAAAGGTGTATGATGTGCTGAAAAATGAACAGGGATATACATCCCCCTTTACTCTGCCTCCCTTTCACAGTGTGCAAGTGGGCCGTTATGGCAGACAGGAATGTGGGCAGCTCATGCTCAACCACAATCAACGTGGAGAGCCTTGTACATGAGAGGCACGGTAAAAGGGAAGCTGCAAGAAGAAACAAAAGAGAAACCCAGAAAAAGCGGAAGCSRGGAAAGGGAAGAAAGGACTGCACAAGGAARAGGCAATGCCGCGGCTTTAGTGTGTGCTTAATGTGGTTTGCTATAGACATAAAGCTGCCACAATTTTGGATCTATTCATCTGGGTGGAAACGGTGTTGTTGTGGTGACAGTTTACAACGTACTCCTTCGTTTGTATGTATGTCTTCCTTCCTCCTTTTTTATTCTATGTATGTATCCATATCTTCCTTCTTGCTTTCTGTTCTAAGTACCTTCTGTGTGTCTAAGTGAGGAGTGCCAAACAATCTGTGGTTGCTTGTTTGGAGTGCCTGCAACACATTTGGGGGGATGATCTGTTTGGAATATCTTCAGGTCCATGTGCCATGGGTAATGAGGTTCCTCTAAGTGGCTTTCTAGCCCCAAGGTTGGTGGGAACCAACATTCTGTGGGGTCCTGTTTGTGGTGTGCAATGTGCATAGATTGATGGACTCCTTTTGGTTCATGCTGGGTGTGTGGACCGGTGGCTTGCTTGTCCGTGCCTCAGCTGGTCCAAGGAAGCCAGGTGGTCCTTTGGCCCATGCTGGATGTGTGGACTCCTTTGGTCCATGCTGGATGTGTGGACCACGGACAAGGAAGCCGCCGGTCCAAGAAAGCTACTTTGGTCCATGCTGATCCATTCTGGATGCATGGACTGCCTTGTCCGTGACTCCGCCGCCG